CTCTCATTAAACGCATCAAATAGACAGTTAAATTCATTCATCTATCCACCAACAATAGGTCAAATGTCAAACAACTGTATACCACCTTAAACATGAAGGTTTGTACAGGATGATTTAACATGCACTTGGACATGACCTCGCAAAGAGAGAGAGTCAGCACAAGTTTGATTTTATTTGATGTTCTCAATAACTGGGCTTCTGTGTGTTGCTCGAAAAGATGAAAAGAGAAGTCAGCAGTGTTTTCAGAATATTTGTATGTTACCGAAACTTTTGACCTCTACATCAGCCTTTACCTTATATCACACTCTTTTTCTATGGAACACAAAATTTTGATTTCATGGCTGTAAATCAAAGTGGATGCGTCCATCCATCTATCCTGGTTTAGAAAGAGAGAGCACTAATACAGAAAAAGTTTTCAAGCATAACAAATATAGAAATATTGTAATGAACTTATTGCAGGCCTGCAATAAAAACTAGTGGTCTGCCTTCTGACAATCTTTAGGGAAAACATGATCTGCTAATGAAATTTCTTGTCCAACTGAACCAGTTTGAACTAGGATAATAATTGTAATTTTGAATATCAGTCCATGGTTATAGGGATTACATGTATTCTGTTTTTCTAGAGTTCAAATTGACAGTGTACTGAAATCAATTAAAAATGAATTTATGATTTAATACATTTAAATTTGTTTAGCTTAATTACACCAAATTGTAGTCAAATGCTGAGATAGATTTAGCAGTACTTTAGCCTTTTTTTCTTTATCATGATTGGATTTAGCTACTGACTCAGATAGTTATGTAGCTCAACAAACTGAATTACCAAGATTGAAATCAATAATAATCTACAATTGAACACATTTAAATAGGCTATGTGATTTAAGGTAACTTAATCACACCAAACTGCATGATTTCCACTAGAATCAATAACTGAGATGCCAGTTACTCTGCTATTAGCTACTTAGCTTTAGCAGGAATTTGGCTAACCTTTTTCTCTATCGTGATTTGATTTAGGTATAAGCTACTGCCTCATTTAGCTATGCGGAAGAACAAACAGAATTACCAAGATTATAATCAATAAGAAATTCATTAATCTGCAGTAAAATACATTTAAATATGTGATTTAAAAGTAGTTAAACACCAAATTGCGTGCTTCTCATTAGAGTAAAAAGCTGAAGCCAGTTACTGTCAGCAGGAATTCAGCGTGTTTTTTCCCCTGGATTTAGCAACTTCCTCATTTAGTAATGTAAAGTAAGAAATTGAATTAAAAAGACTGAAATAATACAATAATACAATTTAACAAGTAATAAATTATAAATGTTATTTTAGTTGAAGTGAAAAAATTCAAAACCTAATGGTTGTTGCCACTCTGCTAAGCTACTTACCATTAGCAGTTTAGTTTTTTCTTTTATGATTTAATTTAGCTTGTGTCAAATATAATTATGTGGAATAACAAGCAGAATTGCCAAGATTAAAATCAATAATACAATAATCTGCGGTTAAATACGTTTTAATATGTGATTTGGAGATAGCTTATTAAGAACGCATTTACTGCTACTTTATCAAGCTAGTTAGCTTTAGCAGGAGTTCATGCATTTTTTCCATAACAATTGGAGTTAGTGATGTAAATGGAATTACCAAGATTTAAATCAATAATAAATTACTGTACGTCACCGGATACTGTTAATTCATCATAGTTTCCACTTACCTAAGAAAAAAACTAAGTGAAACTGATCTACTTTGCTAGCATTTATCTATAGCTATCACTTGATGTAGCTCTTCTGCTTTAGCTATAGCGGTATATTTGTCTCACAGACATTATACATTTATTTCTTATAATAATTTTTTATTATATGGTAAAATAAATGCCAAAAAGTCAGATTCCCGCCTTAACTCAGCTTTGACCAAATATGTACATTCCACTGAAAAGATGACACAAAATTCATGTCAAACAATTGTTTATTACTAATTATGGTACAAATCAATGTGACAGACTTGAAGCTTTTTTTTTTTTTTTTAAGAAATACACAAAGTGCTGCTTAACTGACCAAACAGATATTGCTCTATAGATTAAGTACAGTTTTCAGTCTATAAAAAAAAAAAAGAAAACCAACCTCTGCAGGCTCTTCAGCTTTGGTTTCAAGTTCTTCGACTATTAACAAAACGTCAAACCAGGTTGTCCGTGTTAGTAAAATTTCACAAAAGTATTTAAAGGTGATTAACAAATCATCCTAATTGGGTTAAGAGCAACATTACTGTAATCTCCTTTTCCTCTACATGGGTCTACAGGTCTGTGAAAACAGAGGTGGATGTCACAATGAATGAGAAATAATGCAATACAATAATAAAACAGATGACCAGAGAGTCACATGTGGCTCAGGAAACCACTTCACAAAAATAAAACAATCATGTGTCACATAATAATAAATAAAACACAAGCCTCCCCCTCCACGTTGAAGGTGAACATCGACGACACAGTGCAGAATAATCATTTGTCTTTTCTGACCTGCTGCTGCTTGTATGGCATTTGTATGATTCTCACAAGAACAGTACTGAGGTAAACCTTGGATGAACTACTGTACATTTCTTCTCTTCAATTTTTATCTCAGATTTTTAAAGATTGTCAACATCGTGAATCTATTTCTCTGTACAATGTGCATAACTATAGAGCTTTGGTCCAGCATTGAAAAGTTGAACGAAGGCATAACTCCTATCTGTGTCTTCTTTTATTTTTTGGTTTTGGTTACAGCTTTATTGTTAAGCCTCACAACTGATCCACTGCTGCTTTCTCATATATTTATCTGACAGGTGGTGCAGTAATTCTTGGCCCGAGATTTGCCTGAAGTTATATTTTTTTGTTGTTTTTTTTTTTTTCTCTTGGAAGCAAAATAAAAAATGCACAAAATCTGTTGGTGTAAATGCAGTAAAAAACATAAGTGAATCTTTTTCATGTGTTTTCTTACATTTTCAGTGTGTATGTGTGTGTGTGTGTGTGTGTTTTCCAGGCAGTGAAGATGAACACAGCAGTGCACAGGGGACTGAAAGACTGAGATAACCAAAGTGACATGGAAGGACAGACATCAAGCCGACACATGATTCTGAATAAATTGCATCAAATTTCACCTCACTTCAAATTAAGTTCACTTGTTCTGAAATGTGACACTTATTCTCAATGTTCACCTCTATTTTTATTTTTTTTCCGCCTTTCCCTATGGGTTTTTGTAAGCGCCTGATATTAGTAGTGACCGTGTAGGAGTTTTTTTTTTTTTTTTGCCTGGAATATTGACATTTCTGACAAAGTAATACCACATAAAATCAAAAGTGTCGTATTGTCACGGAGAGTCAATTAATAAACATATCGGTGGACTCAATATTCATTTCTACCCATGCGAATTATGATAAAAATAACCACACATGCATGAGATCTTCAAGAGAATCTGCTGAGATGAACCGTTTTTTAAACACTTCAGTGTAGTAGAAATCATTTCCATTAAGAACGCTGATTGTAAACCTTCATCTAGCTGAGAGGAATGCAGAATATAAAGAAAACAACAACAGTTATCTTTGCAGAAAAGCATATTTGAGTTGAAATATTCAGGTTATAAAAACAGCTGAACTGGAATGAGCTCAGTAGTTTGGTCAGTGGCAACAGACAGGCTTCAACCACACGTTTACTTAGTTTTGGGGCATAATTAAAGGGTTTATTGTGTAAAAATATGTTATTTTCAGTGATATTAGCAAAATTCAGGTAGCCTATTTCTTTTATTTTTGGGCTGTCTGGTGAAATCTATTTTAGCCAAGTCTGTAAATAATCCGTCTTCACGTTGTTTGAGTTGAAGCATGCATAGGCAAATTTGCTTAAGAGAAAATTCTTCCAACCCATTTTCTATATTGCCACGATAAGAAATGACAGCAGACACTGTTGCAGTGTTTGACAAGACGGTGTTTTTTTCTTTTTTTGTTGTTGTTGTTTTTTTTTTTTTTGTTAAACTTGACCCACAGAGTAAAACACTTTAGAAAAAGGGGGGAGAAAGCCATGTGAACAAATAAATAAAAAGGTAAAATCTTCCCCAGTCCTTGAGCTGAATGTGTATGTGTTCTTTGGCTATCAGGCTTTGGCAACAGAATGACACAGTAGCTCAAAACAAAGCTGCAGTAGACTCGACAGACACTGAAACCCCTCCTCCTCCTCCTCCTCCTCCTCATCCTCATCATCTTCATCATCACGTGACAGTCCTTAATTTACCCTCCCTCCGTCCTCTGAAACAATCTCATGAGATTATTAATAAATACCTGTAAAAGTTGTACAAAGTTACACTGTGACTGAAAATATTTGCAGATGAAACACAAATCAGAGGCAAACAACATTATTATGCAATTGTTTAACAGCAAAGGTAATTTTTTTTTTTTTTTGTCCAAAAGAGAACTTTATCAGTGTGATTTCAATCTGAAGACAGCATTTTTCTTTTTTTTTGTTTTAGATATTTACATACAAACAATGAAGAAAAAAGTAAGCGAGACAAAGATAAAATGTATACTCAACCTCACACATATAGCTTAGATTTGCCAGTACAAATGTAAAAATTTAGAGCACATTTACATTACAAAATTATTCTTAGTACTCAGATGCAACAGACTTTGGTAAATAGTGTTTTGATTTGGTATGATCTCTTTACTAAATCCCTCCTTGTGGGAACCAAAATTTGGGCGATAGTCTGGTCTGTAAGGCCAGAATCTAAAACTCTTTGAAACAGCACACCATATGTTTTTACATAATTCTCAGATATTAATCTCTTTTTTCTTGTTTTTGGTTTCGCCAAGGTCATTTACATAACTGTGGTAATCACACTGACAACACATAGTTTTTGTTTGCAAACTCATGACTGTCCATCCAGGTGACTGGGAACATTTTTCAATTCTCATTTCAAGATGAGTTCATCCACCTTTGTTGTTTTTAATGGCTGCCACTTTTCCACTCCACTTTTCTTCGTCGGAGGGCTCGTTCATTTCGGGAGCTCCTCTAGAGAATCAGTGAGAGGGTCCATTGGTGCAGCCGCGCCAAGTTCGGGCTGTTTCAAACGCTTTATTGTGTTTTTCAAGGCTTGCCTCTTGTTGCAGAACCAGACACGCACCACCTCCCTGTCATAGTTCAGTTTCTCGGCTATTTCCGTCATTTCCTGTCCAGAGGGGTGTGTGTTCTTCTCAAAGTGGCTGTTGAGGATCTCGAGCGCCTGCGGGGTGAAAGAGGTCCTCCGCTTGCGTTTTTTCGAGGGCTCGCTGCCGATAAACTCAGTCAGGTTCTGCATGCCGGATCGGTGGCGGGCTTCAGCCTCGGCCATCCAGCGCTCCAGAACGGGCTTAATCTTCTGGGCGCTTTTAGGGGTGATGTCCAACTTCTCAAACCTGGCAGGATATAAAAGGCCAGGGTTCAGTTTGCCTGTCAGACTGCTACCTATAGTGTTCTCTTGGGCTTCCTGTGGTAGGAAAAAGTGGCTTCTCAGGATGGTGTGTCTGGGGAGAATTGAGAAAAAAGAATCTTACTTAGGTGCCCTGCCAGAACAAGGGATAAGCTGCCTGCCTTTTAGTCTCCTCAACCAGAATGCCACAGGGACTGAGACTAGCATCCAGGTACATGTCCGAGCCAAACTCCTCTGTGTTCTGTACCTGGAAACACCTCAGCTGCAGCAGCTGGAGGTGATGGTTGCCAGTGGTGTGTTAATTTTCTGGAGGAGGCTGTGGTTCTCTGTCCCAAATTGGCAATAGTGGAGCAAGGAGATATTGCCAATGGCTAAAGTCAGGTCCAGTTGAACCAAAAAACATACCAAACATCTAACTAAATGTTTTAAATACTGTACTTCAAAGTTAAATCAACAGAAAAACAAAACAGGAATTACTGTCAAATATCCCATTTCTTTCCCTCAGGTGATAAAAACCAAAAAAAATCCACTAATGCATGCAGTTAAATATGGCACCATCATTTATTTACCAAAAGAGCTTGAAATATTAATCAAAATGTACATTTAATACATTTTTCAAACTTTCTTTCATCCTCTAACAACCTCTCATTTTATATTTAATAAGAATACATTTACACACTTTAATCCTGAAGGTTTCTGCAACCTTACGGCTGCGTGACACATAATTCTGACTTCACAAAGACTCTGCATTTTATCAAGTCTGAGTAAGAATGCAGAATGAAGCTTTTTCTAAAAACACTGCTTGTTGGCAGCCCAGTGACTCTGCCAGGTGCTTTTGCCTGAGATATTAACAGGAAGAGTGTGTGGCACGTGAATTAGATATGATGAAGATGACGTTAGGTTTTGAAAGGATAACTCTCATACCTGTAATGTTTGTATTGAGGGAAAGGAAGGTGTTTCACGCAAAACGAACAGAGACTTACAATTGGGTTTAAATGGTTTTCATGGCGTCTAAAAACAAATGAAGACTCGGTTCATTTGAAGTTGATTCTAATGACTTCTTTTAGTAACATGTAACATCAACATATTTTTGATGAGGATCCGTTAAATTTGGTGATTACAGATTGTAACTGTGACACTTTGACCATTTGGAAAGTTTTATTTATATATTTATAAACTGAAGACTTCACTGTTGTATGACTAAATAAAGGACTATATAGAAAAAGTAATACCAGGTGATAACAGTTATCAGTCGGACTATTATTTACAGGATTTGACCCACAAGCCTTTGCAGTTGAAATGATAAAACTGATCTGATTGGATGGATTTAAGTCTCTCTTTCCTTTATAGTCAACATGAGACAGAAAACACTGTAGAAAGACATGGAGTGGACAAGCTACAAAAGTCATCAGTTAGACTCTAACCAGTGAATATAGCGGTTACTTAAACTGTCTAGACGTTTCATTACAGTAACTGTTTTATGAACGGAGGATATCAGGACTAAATCCACAATCAAAGACCGGAGCTTTCCTACTGGAATGAACTCACACGCCCTTTAGAGCTGTAGTTGCTGATATTCTTTAATAATACATTAAAATTAGTGCGTCTGTGTGCGATTGTGTGCATTTATATGCAATTTGTTCTGATGTGTCTTTTTGCAAGGGCATCTTGATCTCAGAAGTTGAGTTACTGAAGTTGTAAGGCTGAATTTAATCATATATCATGTTTATGTTTTATTAGCTGGTCGTGTACGTCTGCTGATTATCAAGTGATTCACTTATACTGGGCCAAATGTTCGTTTTTAATAATTTACATAATGAGCACCACAACTTACAGAGTGTATAATGGTGCACTGTTAATAAAATATACATTTCCATCCACGTGAAACACAAATTAGTCAATTATTAAACTAACTACTAAAAAAACAGCTGGAAATCACATTTAAAGAGCCTTTAAAAACATAATGCTTCCATCAATAGATGGAAAGTTGATTTCTTACAACCGCTGATTTCCACACCTGATTAAATCAATAAATCCGATGTGTTGACTGAATGTCTTTATGGGACGAGCAGGAGCGTGACGTGTGCGGATGCTTTTAGTGAAATACGTCCTGAAGTGATGGAGAGACAGCAGAGAGCCAGAAGAAAGCTCTGCTCTCTGTGGAACAAACAATGCACACAAGACATTTTTAATGGCGAGGTGAGCTGCTGCTGACAACAACAGTGAGGCCGAGATGCCCATGCATGCATGAACTTCCTCTGTTTCTACACCTCGTTGGTGCATTCCTGCTTGTCGACAGGCGTTATTATTTATAACCCCGTCCTCCTCCTAAACAGTGGAAAGAGGAGAGCTCCATACTGCGGGGAATACATTAGTAAATATGAAGAGTCACCAGAGACAGGACATTTCATGGATCAACAGGAACCGCAGATACTAAAATGAGTTGAGAGCTGCTCAGCTGGGGTATGCACTCCCTCCTCTAGTGCATCAGCACGAGGGAGAAATGGCCCTGAATGCACCTGCAGCCTCTCTGGCTCTTCTTAAAAGAACCTTAGGAGCTCTGCTTATACGTGCTGTATGTTCAGAGCTGAGTTACAGTTCGCCTCAGGGTTTACACTCATGAGCCAGAGTCTTAAGCAAATCAGAGAGACCTATCTGAGAGGGATACACTTCACATCAGAGGACTGGATGATGTGAGCTAAAATCTGTATCTAGATAAACGAGCAGATTCACTTTAACTTGTGATATTTTCATTTTAATATCAGAATTGTCTTTAGAAACATTTTTTTAATGCGTCTCTGGCAACTGTCAGGTAGGAATGACGATATAATGATATATTGATTTGTCAGGAGTCAATTCATTTCAACATTAACTATTATTCCGTAACATGTTGATAATATGATATAAAATTACATATATCAAAAGGTTCATCTTTGACAAATGCTCCGTCACATTCTTAGTAAGCTCTCATTTGCATGTTTTCTTAGTTTTTGCTTCAGTATTTCCCAGCTTAAATATTACTATTGACTTCTTTTATTAACTAGCGAATAGATTTTGTGGGAAAAATATTTTCAATTCCTCAATGTGAGGTTTCGAAAAAGTTTTGATTTCAGCTGCTGTATTGAAAAGCAATATTGAAAAATTTTTTTAATCAACCTGCTCTTGCAGTGTAAGTAAATTTTGTCTGTAAAAGATTTATAGTGTAAGTGAATGTAATGTAAGGTGAAGTTGGTTTATTGCTGAGCCCTCCTTGGGGCAAGTCATGAAATATGCCTTTGTGTTTTTTTAGCTGGTTGTGTATTCCTGTTGATTATTTAGTTAAATAATTCTGGTCATGTTTATTTATGCTGGGTCAAATGTATCGTTTTAAAGATTAAACTAATGAGGACAGATAGAGTTTATAATGGTGCACTGAATTCTAAGCAGCGTGACTCATTAGTTAAGGCGAGTTATTAATGTTTTCTATCTTAAATCATGTAATTAAAATGATAAATGGGATGATCAGCCTTTAATTTTAATCAAATCATTTCCTTCTGAATATTTTTGTATTCAAATTTGAACCAAAAGAGGACAGACTGGCACATCATTGGTTTGATGATGCCCCCCCCCATGTAATGCCTGTGCCTGTTTAGATAAACTAATAAAGATCCTGGAAACATACTGAGCAATGAAAGGAGACAAGATGGAAGCATCTGTCAGTGTCTGTTCTCTGTCTGGGTTCAGAGCCGGAGCCCCTGAGCTACTGTGACGTCCCGTTTCCCCTCAAACTTCATGTCTGTGTTGATGTTAACTAAACTAAAGCATGTGAAGTTTGCCCCTCTGCTTTAAACATCAGGATGTCATGTCCAATGTCATACAAACAAAAAAAAATTGTCTTAACGGCATGAATAACAGCCCACCGAGTGTTTATTTTTGAGGCTAATGGCTTTTAATGTATATTATAAATATTTGAATTATGCCTGGCTGTAAATATTTCATGTGTGATTTCAAGACTTTAAACATTAGTCAGAGAAGGCCGGGCCTCATAAGAACCCCGGCCCCTGCGCTGTTTCACATTTTATCGGCCGTTTGATGTTGATGTAATGAAATTTTTAAAAGTGCGTGGCAGCGCTGTGTCACATCAACAGCACCGGTCATCAGCAAAGCACACGCATTGCGGAGGGACATTAAAATTAATACAGGAATTTCACTGAAAACAGAGGGGACTTCGTGATGCAAAACAGGCTACGATTGTGCTAAAGTCTGTGTGTGTGTGTTTTTAAGTTGCTCAGATGTATTTGACTTTAGAAAAGACATAAAACATTAACTTACATTTGTTGACTCTTTAGTTAATTTTACACATAAAATAGTTTTTTGCACATTGAGCATAAAAGATTACACTATTTAGTTCTCTTAAAAAATTAATATTGGGACATGATGTAGCCCAATTATTCTGCCTTGAAAGGAAAACGCGGCTCATTTGGCATCTTCATGGAAAATGTTAGTCAAGTGGAACAACAGTAGGGATGAAACACTGATTGTCTGATTGTCTCATGAATATATAATGCACCATTTATGACTAAACTGTCCTCGTGGCAGCAGTAAAACATGGCAATCTTATTAACAGATCATCGACGTCAAGCTCTCTCATGTTCAGGCGGAGTGAAAGGCAACGGGCCTTAGTAATTATTAAATGCTTTAAGTGCTCCGTGTAATACTTGTGTATGTATTTTGCATAAGTAACACGAGGCTGTCATGTCAGCGGGTGAGAAGGAAGGGAGAGGAGGAAGGGTAAGTACAGACATGAGAGCTTTCGTTTGTCAGGGTGGTGATAGTCAATTATGTATTTTAATATCTTAATAATGTCTGTGAAAACATGGAATGAAAAAGAGATGGACGCTACGAGCACCGCGCAACTCACTGAGGCCGCACAACTTCATCTGCTTCCGTTTGACACAATCAGGACAAACTGATTGGAAATAATGAGCCGTTTACTGTCAGATCTTTTTCTTCTTTGTTTGCCCTTACCTGCAGATGGCAGACTGACTGTACGCCGGCCCCTCGGCGGCGCTGAGCGCCTGGCCCACCTGAGTCTGTGTCAGGCCCAGGGACAGCCGGCGGATCTTGAATGCTTTGGCGAATTCACGGATCTCCTCCAGGTTGACCCCGTCCACCTCGCTGGGGGCGGTCTGCGGGTCTACAATACAACAAACACATCTCATTTTTATTAGCCCTGTGCTCCTCCGCCGCTTGCCTCATTTTCCAGAAGCAACCATTCAGCCATATGTGATCATGATCGCCTCTAAAGAACGGGGAAAAAAAGAAAAGAAAAAAAGTCCTGGTCTGGGTTAGAACTTATTATTTGTCTTTGCCCTCATGCTGTAAACTGCATGTATCTGAAAGATGTTTTGAAGCATAAATTCATCTGAGGTATGAATACAGGCGTGTCATGGCTCTGACTTGCCAGTGTAAATCTTTAATCGCGCACACAAAAGCATATGGACAAAAACACACGCCGCAGAGCTTGTTAATTCAATAGACAGATAGATCTGGAGCAGATAGATACTGTAGTGTTATAGTTTTCCGTATGAATACACATATACTCTGAAGCTGGCTCTCTCAGATAAACATTAAAGAATGTATAAAGACATTATTTCATCCGTCTGACCCTAAGTGAAGACAGTTCAGGCCTCCGAAACCAGCAGCGAGCCTCACACACAAACGATAACCAGCTCCGGTCGGACAGAAACACTCTTTACACAAAGACATGCCGTTTGTGAATCTCTGCATTTGAGCAGATCTGGAAAACTTCACAGAAGCATTTTGAAGAATTTCCCTGCTAATAAAAAGTGATTTCACATTGTACATCAATGTCAGGTGCCCTGGCATCCTGCTTACTAAAGCAAAGTTTGTGCCTCTGAATTATTCATCTTGGTCATTATCAATGAATTATTAAAGGAATCCTCCAAGCGTATTTAAGCAAAAATCTATGGGGCTGCCATCTCGTTGTGCCTCATAAGTGACGTGTAGCGTATGCGGCGTGCTCCAGACGTGTGAACACTTGGAAGATGAGGGACTAGAGACTCCACGCCGACTGAAATGGGAGGGATGAGCACTCACAGCTTCGGGTCCCATCATCTCCACATTGATGAGCATCTCTTCATCATTCCCAGTGGAGGCTATTTACTTAGTGCTTGGAAAGACTAATGGTTGTCTGGAGCAGCAACTGGTGTAGCCTCTGGATCCATATTTTTCTTTAGACATTAAGTCACAACCCAAACCTGATTTTCGATTTAAACCTCTTCTAATTTCATTTGAAATAATGATAATAATGGTGGAGTAAAGCTTTTACAAAACAAACAGAATGAAGAGTCGATTGAAAAAACACAGAAACAACGGAGACGATCAATTTACGCTTTAAGCTTAATAATTACCAGTGTACCAAGTTAAACACCCTCTTTTGTTTGCCGAAAAGGGAAATGAGGAAAAAATGTTCCCTTCCCTCATGGTATTATGTGCCAGCACTTAATGTCGCACAATGCAGTCAACTTTGAACTGTCTTAAACTTAAGTTAAAATCCTATTTGTTATTCTTTTTGTATATATGATTATAATCCACCCGAACTTGACTAAATGATGAAGATATTTGCAGCTGAAACCCACCAGTTGTGAGCTACGAGTCTAAAAGTTAGAAATCTGGATATAAATGCTGCCGACTTGTCAACAAACAGGCTGAGCAACAAACAGCAGGCAAGACACAGTTAGCAACTAGCTGGAGAACACAGTGGAGCATTTAGCAGCTAAAGAGCAGCATATTTCCCTCAGGAGTAAGTCGAGTCCAAACACAGAACAGAGCTAAACAAAGATGAATATTGAACCTACATTCATCAGTCGTCCGCAAACACGACTCACAATGAATGATGTTGTAGTAAATATCTGTAAATACTGGGTGTGTAAATGAGCAGCTTTTACTATATCAACTTAAAATGTTATATGGTGATGATATGTCAGTGTTGTGTTCGTAACCTGTTTCTGCCCCCCCCCCACCCCCCAAATGACCGAAAGGTTCAAGATTGTGTTCATGCAGCTCAGATTGCATTTGCACCTGGCTGAGGTTTGACTGCAATGCGAGACAGACCAACGATGTGATCCGGAGGATCTGATTGCAGTCCAGTCACATTGTGTTCTGCGTGCATTTACACCTGCATTAACATGTGTGTTTTCCTTATCCAGGTCAGATATCCGGATACAGGTTGCGTGTTATTACCAGGTATAAATGAGTGAAAATGCAGCTGAGCAAGGCTTTTTAATGTCTTTAGTTCCAGAGCAGCTGCTCATTGGCAGCCGTCAGAGGACTGATTACCCGGAGGAAATGAACGCTAAAAAGATTGTTGCTGAAAAACAGCGTGAGTGATCCGGTGCCTTTCTCCAGATGAATAAAAATAAACATACAAACAACCTTGATACAAAATACTGCTGACATTCGTCTTTATGATTGACATTTTCCCATCTGATTATTTCAAATAACAGTAACAGACATTCTCAGCTTTATTAATCTGTTTCTGGCACTGTTTGTGGCTAGTGACGACTCTCATTCTGTCATGGGATTTCTCTTTGCGTATATATATTTGCTGTAAGTGATATTGAGAGGAAGTGATATGGCTCATACTCAGCATAAAACATTAATTCTATTTACCGCAGAACTGAGCCACAATGATTTTGTACAGACTCAAAAATGGTTTATCGGATATTTTCCGAGCTACAAGTAAACATAAACTAAACACAATGTCTACAACAAGTTGATCAATGGCGACTTGTTTTTTATTAAATTCAGTGGCACTGTAGCTGCCTTTGAAATGAGTTTACATGGAGTTTAGCGGAATCGACTCTGACAAATGAAATTTATGTGAATAAAGCTGAGTTTTTAAAGGCAGTAGCTACATGCTGACAGGCTGTGGCCCAGTGATTTATAAGGCTCTGCCAAAGGCCCACGCATTTGGAGAATGAAACTTATGTTCATTATACATTACACATGCCAGTCTGGATCGTCTAATAAACCAAAGATATGACAGTCAGGAAAAATAAAACAATCGTAGGAGGCGGGGATCAGTCAAAAGCTGTCCACACGGAGAGTAACGCAGGTACCGACTCCACCATACTGGATCTCCAGCCAGTGCTGTTAAAGGAACAGTTCACTCAAACTACAAAAAGACATTTTTATTCTCTTACCTTTTGTTGTTTCTAGCTAACCAGACAGTTTTGGTTTTATTTGCTCTATCATTTCTGCCACAATCTTAATACGATTTGTGGCACTTAAAACATTCAAAAATCACATTTAAAAAAGCTACATGTCTTTCCAGAAACTGTTCCTGTTACGCTGGATTATACACACAACATGATGCCTTCATTTTCTAAGAGGGACTGTATGTTTGATACAAAGTGGTTCCAATTTAAATCATCTTATCATGTCATTTATGAGTATATTTAAGTCAAAGTATTTTTCTCAAACAAGTGAAAAAGGTCTGCTAGTGTAGTAAGAATATTTCAACTGGTTTCTAACAGAAATCAACTTGTTTCAAGAATTGTCTGGGAATGAGTGTCAGTGTCTTGAGACGGAAAAAATAATTATAAGGCCGGTTAATTAAACTTTCTAAAAAGTATTGGAGACTTGTTTTAAAAGACATCTGGTGACTGTAAACCCCATGAATAGACCAAAACTAAGAATGAACTGATCCAAATAACAAGTGTTGCCTTTGTAACCAAATCTGTCCCTCTGTGCCAAACAGCACCAGAAACTATTACAACACATCAGTGATCCACCCTGTTGCACTGGTTGACATGTTCCTTCATTACCATGAACATAGGCACTTTACTTTATTTTGATTGAATCCTACATATGCCCTCCTCCTGCTGTAAATACTCACTAAAGCACCAAATGTTAATCCGCTGCTGAAAATAGTCCAAAACAAATGCTCTAGTTATTGTTTGGGAAGAGTTTGTTAAAAAAAAAACTGCAGTGCCCAGCTGTTTTAGGAAATGATTTAGTTATTTTTTAATTTTTTAATGAGACTATATATTTGTGACCTGTTTTAGAGGATTTATGTCTTCAGCAGGAATGAATGAGCTTACCACAGACAGAGTACTGTAAGGACGTCAGAAAATATTGAGAGGTGCACTAATGCATCGTTGGTTTCGGTGCTCTTATGGGATTTGTTGACAGAAACAAAAGTATGATACACTGCCAGTTTGATCTTTTAAGAAAATAAAACTACGAGGAGTCAAATGACAAATCAATCTTGAGAAGGAGACTTTTGCATTTTTGTGTGGGTCATTCAGAGTACTCAGGACAATGGGAGACAAAATGCTCTTTTGACTCTATTATACTGAGGAAGTGTCTGCATGGCTAAATTCTACTAGTGGTATGGTACTAGTGTCCCGGCCCTTTACTGCACACATCACGTCATATAACAACAATAATAGGGATACGGTTCTTTATTCCGTGTATCTGAAAGCCTGTTGTGTTTTTGTGAGCTGTGTCGGACACTTACTGCTGACTAGCTGCCCCACGCTGAGAGCCGAGGAAGAGGAGGAGGTGGAGGAGGAGGAGGAGGCCTGGTGGAGAGGACTCTGTCTGTGGGGCATGTGTAGCAGGTTAGGCTGAGATGATGCAGGGCCTGTCTGAGCCTGCTGAGCCTGAGGCAGCTTGACACACACACGCACACACACACACACACACACGCACGCACGCACACACACACACACACACACACAATACACAAGCTGATACAACATATTGACAGCGTGTAGTACAGAACAATATCCATTATTTCCTCTGCACATCATCATAATAACCATCATTTATAGTAATCATGTCATTATGGTGATTGAGCTATAGTATTAAATCTAATCAACCAATCAACAGCTATTAATTTAGCCACTTAGCAGCTGAATATAATGAGATTTACCTTGTACCCGATGATGAATAAATGTTAATTACTGCCTGCCGTATTTAGACTGACAGAGCGGAATATAGGGTCAATAGTCTGCTCAATAAGCTGCTGCAGTGGTTTATGTTTCCAGGAGCCATTGAGAGTCTAAAAGGAAGTAGATGCTGGTTCAGCTCAGGTACTCCACTGTCTCTATGAGCTTCATAATAGCTTCTCTGCAGAAATACACTCAGTTTTACAGAAGAGGAACAGCTCATGACAATTAGAGTCCTCTGTCTCGTCATCAGGCGTGTGAAGATGCTAATAATGGCAGCCTGACTCCGAAATAAAAACATGTGGACACAGCAGTCCCCATATCAAACATAATTCATGATCCACAAGCAACGTGCTCTGATGGCGAGAAAACGATGTATTTTCATGTTTTATGCACATTTGAATTGCTTTTACAAGATCAAGATGGTACGTCTTCACTTTTAAAGCTGTCTCCGCCATAAGCTGGGCTGACTTCTCCTCTCCTTCTTTGCTATTAATTATTTTCTCTGTGGCATGTGTTTGTTTGGATGGTGGGGGGTGTCAACAGCGATGCACACACTGTCAGGACTGTTGACAGGCTCGGAGAATTATCTAGCTTCACTTGAAATATTCCAGACTGCAGGCTCTGACAACCGTAAATTATGCCTGTGGAACAATGTGTACATGCAGGCTTTGAAGTGGAGACAAAAGCATAAACATTATTACAAATGCATTAATTCATTCAAGAGTATGATCTGGAGTTTCAGAGAGCCACAATTAGGTGTCCGTCTGCTGAGAGTTCATCCATTCAGCACTGTATGTGCCTCCAATGTGAACTTTTACCCTGTAATTCTGTGCTGACATTGTCATTATCAAGTCAATAACATTTTCATTGTTGTGTGCATGCATCTGGCTCCACACTCGAGCACAGTATAGATCTTAAAATTGGGAGGAGAAAATGTTTTGAGTTTGAGTTTCTACACTTACAGTATGAGCTCAAATGTAGTGTGCAAAAAAAAAAAAAAAAAAAAAAAAGAGACAACTTGCGTGTTTGGTGCGCTTTCTTTTAAATCAAAACAAAATACTTGTAGTTCAGGTCAGAGAGGACAAATCATAAGGCTGGAGTGTGTGATTGAAGAAGGAGAGGAGGAGAGAAGGAGAGTGAAACGGAAAGAACAGAGGCAGGAGTGTTTGAGTTTTAAGTGGAGTGATGAAAAGTGTTGTTTTGTTTTTTTTTTTTTGGGGGGGGGGGTTGGGCTCTGCAGGGGCGCAGCAGTCTCCCTGAGACTAAGTTTGAAAGGTTGGCTGACAAGTGCATTCCAAACATGAATAGGCGCTCACGCACACACACACACACACTTTGTACCAAAAGCGACAATTTTCTAAGTGGAATGATGCAAACGAGCATTATGAATGTTGAAGCGGGAAAAATATAAGGTGCTTAGTGTAAACAGACCTGAGTAGCAGTGCTGGATATTTCTTTTATGAATAAACGGAGCTCTAGTCTGACTCCACTAGGTGTTGCTCATTCAACAGTTTTACATTCAGCTCTTGATCATCGTTGGAACATCAGTTTAAGTACATAATGAGCTGCTTTACCATATATCTTCCTTTACACGTGTGTGCATTTGTCCATCGGCGTATATGTTACCTGCTGTCCAGGCTTGATTGGTGACAGTGTGATTCCCTGGGTGTTGATGACAGGCAGGATCTGATTGCCGATCACTGTGGCGATGATCTGGCCTTGAGCGTTGGTCAGAAGCTGAGGTGTAATTGGCTGTACCTGCAGTGCTGGGTTGCCCCCCCCTGATTGGCTGGAGGGCCCTGCAGAGTTGGGCATCAGTGGGATTGTTCCAATTATCTACAAAGGGGGTAGAGAGGAGATGAAATCAGCTGGGCGGTTTTAAAAAGAAGAAGAAGGAACAGAGAGGGTAACGCTACTGGAGGTATCAGTCTCAATGATCTCTGCCGCTGTGAGACGGTTTTTTTTGGGCTTTTTGGATGTGATCAGAAACAAAAGGTGAGTTGGTCATTTCGCTGTGTTATGAGGCTAATCAGAGCACTCTGTTTTTGAGTTGGTCTGTGTGTTATTTGGAGAGAGAAACATGCACAATTGTTCACTGATCATCTGTCACTGAGGTGGTTTTACAGGCAAGAGCAAGTGAAGGCAAAGCAGACTGCTGGGAGCACACTGCAAAGGTCAGCGCTGAATACCTGTGTGTGTGATGGTGCACACCACTGACTGTATTATCCATCACCAGGCCAAGACCGGGATGAGTGTGTATGTGTGACTCTGTGTGTGTGTGTGTTTGTGCTTAAGTGTCTTTGTCTGTCTCTGCTGAGAAGGAGTGTGGCTGCTGAGAGTCCCCCATTTCCCCCCCCCCCCCACACACACACACGCGCACACACACACACACACACACACACACACACACACACGCACACACACACACACACACACACACACACACACACACAGACAGAGAGGAAGAAAGAGAAAGAACACACACACACACACACACACACACACACACACACACACACACACACACACACACACACACACACACACACACACACACACACACACAGGCAGACAGGAAGAAGTAGAAAGAATGAACAAGAAAAGAAACAATAAGAGGGAGAAAAGAGGTGCATCAGAGAGTGAGACGGGACCCTGTGTTTCTAATTCAACTCTCAGGGTCCCAGGGGTACTTCACCCCTCCTCCATCCCCTTCCATCCCGCTGCTCTCCTCTCCTCTGTCGCTGTAATCAGGAAGGGCAGATCAAAGGGGGCGGCAGAGTGTCACTGCAGCGTTTTAGCTCTCAGAGCTGCCAGAGTGTGGCCAAGAGTGGCGCTTTAGGGGGACTTAGTGCCTCTTCACCATGATGAAGGTTAATGTCATCTGGGGACTGGTTCTGGGCAGCTCCTGAGCAGCCGTTTCTCTGGCCTCCCCGCTGACAGCGCTCCTCCACCAAACCTCATTACAGCAGAGAACAGCTCAACACGGATGAGACGCCCATCATTCTAAATTCTGTTATTTGGCAACTGGGCAAAAAGCTACTTTTGCTAAGACTGCACTGTCTTTGAGTCTTTAAATTTACATTTTACTCCAAACTTCTACACCTCACCCCAAACCAACTCAAAACTACAAACAGCTCTCACGTAGCATTAACTGGGCCTTCTCTGCCTTCGCAGTCTCTCGCCACCACTGATGTGTTTCAGCGCCTGGTCCACCTCCCCTCTCCCCCGTCTCCTTGACATAATAGGGAGGGATCAGTCAGAGAAAGGTGGGCCGACAATCTGTAATTCATCCCTGCCACGGCTCATTTGCTTACGTTGCTTCGCATTAGGGGAGAGATAATTTATCTCTCTCTCTGCGCTGGCTTCACAAATTCCCTGTAATGCTCTCCTGCCACTTAGCATATTTTATTGCCCTGCCTGACGCTCGTGTCTCCCGAGTCCCACTGATCCCGCTTTGCATGCCACAGTGGCAGGGAACTTGTTCCGCTCAATTATTCATCGTCATTGGACTAAGTGGTTGTTCTATAAGCATAATAAAAGAGCAGGCAACTGACAGCTTAGCTCTCGTCCCTGTCCCACCAAGCAATGCTTCTCCATCCGAATATCTCAGGCAGATGTTTCATGGCGGTGTCACAAAGATCTTCTTCAGGAAGAGTTCTTAGTGTAGTCAGCTGTCTGAGCGTTAGCTTATAGACAGATGGGAAGACTTTATTGTGCAATAACCTAATGGTTATTATGGTAGAGTTTTTATTTCAACACAACTGGGGAAGGGCATGGAGCTTCAATACAGCACTGAGTGTCGAACAGGTGCAGAGTTATTGGTCAGATTGTTAGATTTTGTTTTTCTTAATGATATATTTTAAAGAAGTTGCTTGGCTCAGTGTTCCCATCTATTCTTCCAAAACTGCAGTATTCTCAAACAACCAGTAGGAATTTCAGTTACTCTACAGAACGGCCGCATTTGATGGAGATATCAGTTTTTCTGTCAAAACATTTGGCTTTGTGTTTCTTAAGGTGCAATTTCAATGAACAAGTCTTTCATAAATAGGCAGCCTTCAGGTCCCTCTTCTCAGTTATCTTCCAGTTTCTCCTCCTTTGTTTGGCTTCCTGCGTTTGCTTTGCGCTCCAGTTTGGCATGTGAGTAAAGTGCCTCTCTCCACCCAGCAGAACTCATTAAGATTATGCTGCTCTTGTTTCCACAGAAATGTCATCTCATCTCTGCAGCCAGGTCAATCTGTGTCTTTAGCCATGGTCGCCAGGCAATATCTCTGCCCATTTTCTCCCCTCCACTGTACATGCGGCGAATTGAGACCCGAGAGGAAAAATGTTTGGAAAGTTTTGGACTCGTGTCAACACACAAGCGCAAAAGAGCTAACATTCAGAGCAAATCAGAGCCTAAAACAAGCGGACTCAAATGATGCGGCGGACGCGAGACATTTCCTGGGTATCCGTTTTTAGACGTTGTACAGAACACTTTTTGTTTTATCTTCTCAAATATACAGATACGGGAGTTTAGTTCACCAATGATTAAATTAGCTGATCAACAGAAACTTCATCTGTAACAGTCCTGATCATGGATTAATCACCTAAATTATTTATCCATCAAAAATATCAAACACCGGCTGGTGGCAGCAGCTCGAATGTGGGGATTTCCTCCTTTTTTGTTTTTTATGTCATTATATGTGTTACATCTTTGGATTTTGGAGAGTTAGTTGAACAAAACAAGCAACCTGGGAACTTGTAGGGCTTTGACAGATGAAGTGAATAACGAAAATAATCAATGGTTGCAGATTTACAACTGCAAGGCCAATTGCAGTTTACACTGTGGCTGCACTTGATCTAAGGGCTGGAAGCTCCCATCAACAGAACACGCTTGTGTTGTGGTTCAGCTTCAGCTGCTTTACAAGCTAACTTGCTTAGCAGGTTAACAGTGCATGTGTTCCTAACCTGTTGTTCTCTGCATTAGTGCCTTCACTGTCTACCCAGGGGGCTCAAGGCCTTACCAAAGGCTGGGAATGCTGGGAATACAAAGGATGGCTAGCACAGTGGGAGGAGGGGGCTTTCCTACATAAAGCTGAGGCACTGAGGTTAATGTAATTTCAGGGAGGGTTACACCTTTCAGCATGTATTGTTCGCTACATGAAATAGCCCTTAATGTCCCTATTTCCACCTCAGTTTTTACTCACAGATTAAGCTGCAGGAGAAGTCAGAATTAGTACTGAATAGAAGATGTTCATGAAAATGCCACAGATTCATAAATGAAAAAAAAATATGAGGAATGAGAGTAACTTAACAATACTCTGGCTTTTATCCACAGCCTTAATCACTGTTGCAGAGGTGGTGAGGATGAAAGAGCCTCATTGATTCTCCTTGGAGAATAAAAAGGCTGGGGCCAATATAATTAAGGTTTAAAAACATATTGAACTCCAAACGTCCATCAAACTTGGCACTTTTCAAGGTCCCCAGAGCTCTTGCTTATGAAAAAGGTCTTCTAACAGAGTTGTAGAGGAAATTAAGGGGTCAAAGACGGTATACCTTGTTTTAAGTTCAAGGGAAGACGTTTTAGTAGAGCACCGAGATGATAAAGATTGTTCCAAGTAAATACAACCCTGAATGGATAAAAGCAGTTCTCAATTAATATAAACCAAAATTGATAAAAGCTGCTCCTCTGCCTCATGTTTTGTGGTTTTTCCAGGCTCGCATAACTTCTCAGAGCGTGTTTGTTGGACCTCCAGCCTTGTTTGAGGTATGTATTAGCCTGTATAATCTCCTCTGTGTTGAGGGGAAGGGGGAGGCGGGACCTTCTGATAGGGTAGCGCATGTTTCAGAGCCCTCCGTCTGAATAATGCTGTGGAATAATGAGGTGGGGAGCAAAGGCTGTAGCCCAGGGCTTTGACCGTGTCTGTGACCTGATTATGTCAGGCAGTGTCAGCCGCCAAGACACTACAAAAGCACAGAGCATCCCATCAAGTCCATATCCACAGTGATCTGTCCCCAGTGCTCCAGGCACCGTGTGAGCCAGGGAAGTCCATACTGTCTCATTTGCGACGTTTAGCATCAAGCTCTCACACACAGACAACACTTAACAATAAACAGTGAACCGTGGTCACACTGGTGGTACTGAAACACAACTCTGGTAGGTTAAATGTCAAGTATAGAATTCAAAATCAGCTGGTTTTTTTTTGCATATTCTTTAGTGGTAACAAATAACAACTACTGTTTCGGTTTCACCATATTTTTGTTAACCATCTGCTATGAAGACTGTGCAAGTGTTAAAAGACCAACAAGGGTTAAGGTAAATAACAGAGTGGCGTGAAAGGGCACATTGTCCATACAATTTTCCTTTAATATGTGCTGTGTGCACCTGCGATAAGATGATTCATTAGATAGGGCCCCACAATGACAAGCATCATCGTTCAAGCCTCTGGCTACTGATGGAACAATTCTGCAGCCACCCTGTAAATATGACAAGGTCAGCATTTTACTGCGACAGGCGCATGCGGATAAGAGAAAGAGGGGCTTTGTTTATTCCCAAAAAGCTTAATATATTGTAGGGTGGCTACTAGACTGTAGGCAAACTGCTTCGAGACAACACAGAGAGCCAACACTAGAAATCTATGAGGAAAGATCAGAAATACTATACAAGTGTTTTATTTGGAGCTGCACATACTTACATGATAGATGGTCCAGAAACATATTTCACAGACCATTTACCAATGCAACTGTTTTCTCTCTGGAGTATTCAATTAGCTGTATACATAATTGATCATTCATTAAGTTTTTTTTTTTTTTTCTTCATCTTAGCGTCTAGCGTACAGGACTCACCTGTCCTTGTGCATTGGTGACCAGCTGCCCGGTGGCTCCTTGCAGGTTTGACAGGGTGTTGCCAAACACCTGAGAACCAGCGATTGATCCCATGGCTGCTGCTGCTGCTACTGCCGCCTGGCTGGCCAGAGGATTCAGCTGGAGAGGGAGAAGAAATCATTCATCAAGACTGCTATCTGTTAATGTCACCAGCGCGGATGTTTACCAGTAATATGCTAATTCTAAAAAAAAAAAAAAAAGCAGGTGGAGTCGAAGCCTGGTGTGGGGGCCTTCGCTCTTGGATTCTTTGTCGCCAAGGCCAGGATAGGCTAACTGCAGTGAGCGGGCTACGCAGTCCATCATACAGTTCCCGGAGGTCTGTGCTCCTGAACCCAGTGGGAGGCTCGAGGGTAGGGAGGAGCAGTGAGAACGGGAGGGTGGCTGTGAATAAGTGGCCATTTTACCACTCTAAGTGCTTCCTCTGGCCCCCAGGGCTCCCCACGGGCCGAGCCGAGTCTCTCCACCCGCAGCAATGGCCCAACAGCCATCCCGCTCTCACAATAGAGCCGGGCAGCGTGGCCATGCATCACTGTATCGTCAACCGCTTCAATACGCTTCGACTAAGAATTCCTCCTGTGTCATGATGCAGTAGCACACTGTTACTTTTGAAGGTTAAATGACCATCTTTAGCCCTGCTGTAATGGACTCATCTGGTCTGGCCCATGGTTGTGAAAAGAGGCTCCTTGCGTCGGAGAGAGGCTGTAGAGCCCCGCCACATCGCCAAGATTACCTATATAAATCAAGCTAACCACTTATTAGGGGGCTGAAAATGCACTGCTGATTTGGTTGTAGTGCAGCAGAGCAAAGTCTTATTAGGTTGAGTAAGTAGATCAAAGACGAAGAAGAGATAGGAGACCTCCCAATTACTCAACAGAATAGAGAAATAATAGAAACACTGCTTAGAAGCAGGCTGTCTGCTCCCTGCTGCTAATACTGGTCGGCTACATATTCAAACAAGACTGCTGAAATCAAAAGTAGAGTTTATAAAAAAGACTTAAAATAACATAAAAGGACTGCATGGGTTACATATATAGCTATTAAGTTTATGTAAAATACAATGTGCTGCAACAAAAATTCTTTTACTGAAGCATAAACTTTTCGACACTTTCTGCACTCTGCAGGGAATTCAGCTTTGTTCGTCTGAGATCATTCAGCTGCCATTCATCTTTTATCTTACCCCACCACCATATATTATTACACTTTCTGAAATCAAATGATGAAAAAATGCCACCGAGCAATCAATACTTTTTCATTGACAGTAAAGGTTAAGCACATTAAGAATGACACTGCATTTGTCTTATGAAATCATATTTCATGTTGGTGGCCTCAAATTGGCCGTGATTGATATTGCCTCCCCTCGTCTGAAAGTCATCCAGTTTTTCCTCGATAATCGCAAGATTGTCTTTTATGTGTCCAGTGGTCGTCCTTCGGAAATCTTAACATCTCTGATGTTGAAAAAGCAGGAGGCTGATTCTGACAGCTGGATAGCAGAATCTCAGTCAAGTCAACATTAGATTAGAAGCCTGTATGTATTTTAAGATAACGCTGTATTGAGCAGTTTTGGGTTTTTTATGCTCTGACAATTAAACATTATTATAACAATTTCTTAAAGTCAGAAGGATCAACAGTGGAAAAGGCACTTATCTATCATATGACACAATATATATCTTGAAACCTGTCATTTAGAGTGATATTTGTTCATGATTGATCCTCCAAAATTTACCAAACTGTCCTTTGCCAGATAGTAAAATTTTAACTCATGTATTAATCTGAGGCTTGTTGACGCAGAGCTTGTTTTCATGTAATGTATAACCATTGTACACAGTTTATTTCTCTGAATATCATTTTGGTCATTTTACATGTGACTTTGCAAACCGTTGCCATATTGTGATCTGTATCGATTCAACTATTTTAACCAGCCTTAACTGATATATTCTAAACAGCTTGATAAAAGTACAACTGATTATTTTTTGGTATTAGTTTTTATTATTATCATTATCACAAACACATCAGTGGTAAATTTGCCTTTATTGTGGTGAAAAATAGCAAAAGTTATATTTTGTTGGAAGAGACAAAAGAAGACGATTTTATCTCTGACTTCCGAAAAGCAGCAGGACAAGAAAGCTGCAACATCTCCACCTCAACACAGCGCACAAATATACATTTTCTTAACATTTTAGATCAGAAGAGTTTTGTGTTAAATAGCTATCAAGATCATATACCAAGAAGCACACGTCTAAGCAAAACACATAGTAAGTGAACTGGTAATTCTCTACAGTCCGATGTTGATATCGCTTTCACTCATGACCGGAGTAGAAGTAGAAGCGGTAGCTGAGAAGAAGAAGAAATAAAACCTGGAGCAGCTGCTGTGTTAGTTTAGGTGAGAGAGGCTCTGAATATAAAATAGTGACTGTGTTGGTGAAAACACAGTATTATGGGTGGTGTGATTGTGAATGGGAACACAGAGAAAAGCCAACATGGCCAGTTAAACAGAGACTACAGATCAACACACAGATAATGTGCTCTGCTCAGAGGAGCACACCCAGAGTCTCCCTGAAAATCTGCTGCGCTTGGTGTCATTGTGTGAGTGATAGGCTGGTGGAAAAGCTTTCGGATTGATTTGAAATATTATCATTGTGTTTCATTCGATGATAGCCCTTTCAGATGCTATGTTATTCTGGCAAATCTAGGTGAAAAGAGAGCAAGCTTTATTGCTGCATCTCCTGGCACTGGGTAATATGGATAGCAGTTGGATGGAGAGCCAGGAATAAGGAGAGGCGAGGCTGTGTTCAACACCTAAACAGGTGATTTTCCGCCACGGTGACTCCTCTCAACACCTCGGCGGGAGGCACAAAATGACAGACCTGGCCTAGCATTTGTACTGATTGCATGTGTTGGAGGAGATAAACAGTGATCTTCCAGTTTGCAGACCCTGCATGTTAACCATTGTGTTTCTTTCTTTTCATTCGCCATGAAAAGGGCATCAAGAGGATTTTCGGCAGCATAGACCACTTTGGTCATCCACACAAGCGACGGGATAGCACAAATGCTAAAATCAACACAAGTCAGTGTATGTGTTAAAGAAATGTTTGAGAATTTAGATTTTGTTATTACATCCCCATGCTGTGAAGCTGCAAACTTTGGCACTGCCGAAGCCTCCATTATATCCCGTGACATCATCTTGTCACCTTTTAGTCACCACAACTGCTATCACTCTCTGCACTATCACAGTTTAATATAGCCAAATATACAGGGTTACACAGGGATCAACAAACACAAAATAAATGTCTCTGACAGGAAAAAAAACCCTGCAAATTGTTAAAAAATGAATCTTTTCTCCGTACGCTATGAAGGGGAGGGAATCTAAACTCCAGCAGGCTCTCCGTCGCCTGTTTGACCATAAGGGTCACCTGGTGCAGCAACCCGTGTAATCTCAGGAATAGAGGGAAAAATAGCGTCCCCGCAAACCGTGGAGAGACCCCTGGAAACTAAAATTGTCTGGCACAAACTAACTGGAGTTTATTCTTGGTTTTGCTCTTTTCATGTGGCCATTTTAAACTTAATTGCTTTTTTTTTTTTTGGGGGGGGGGGCTGCACATGACATAAAAGAGCAAAGATAAATGGACAAAGTGGTGCAGACACCAGAGGCGGGCAGATTTGTCTGCGCTCAGACTTCAGCGGCGTGTAAAACTTATTTTCTACTCATCTATGATTCAACAACAGAATCAAACATTTATCTTATGTGTCAGAAACAATAAAAAGAGAATATAAGACCAGAAAAATGATTCAGCGAATTAGTGGTCAGTAATGTATTTAATTGAAAATGAAAGCAACTATATGTAAAACTTATGTCTAGAAAGTCTCTCAGGTTGATCACATGTAGAAGGAAGAACGCTAGAAGCTGATGTTTGAAAATATGAGAGACGTGTAACAAAGTCTTTGTGCGTTACTCGCCATCAGTCAGAAAAAAGGGCATCAAAGTGGACCAAACAGGGTAAATTAACAGTCAATAGCACAATTGTTTCTGGCCCGGAAAAATGTCCTTTATCTCTTGATGAACGTGGAAGTTTCTCGCGTTCATCCTGGCCCCACATCTCCTCCCTGCTCTTTTCCCACTCCGGAGTGAATGTAATCAGCTGTGACATGAAAAAACACGTTCTCTGTCTGTCAGGACTCCGCTAGTCTTCCGCTGACAGTCCTCTGCTGACACTCCTCCTCCTCCTGCTCCCCCCAAAACGGCCTCTCCCCCACCTCCCCGTCTCTTCTCCCTCACATCCGCTGTGCTTATGAACATCAAAATGCCATTAGGCCCTCAAAAAACACCTCTGTTCCCTTGGTTGGCAGGGCCTCGCACTACGGCCGTGCACTCTGAGCCCTCCGAGCGCCAGCTATTGCTCACCATTGGGCCTCTGCTCCAGCCATTGTGAAAAATAAACCCCCAAAAAAGAGCCATTCTTGAAGAAAAATATTGGGAAGTGAAAGACGGATAGAACAACTGGGGCAGATAACACCCGGCAAAATACAATAACGCTGCATCCGGTGACAGTTGGACATTGTAATTGCTTAAGGCAGTGAAGGGACAGTGGTGGCAGCGGGTGTGGATGTGGAGGTGGCTGAGGCGGCATGGCGGGTGCTAATGGAGTGATGTCACATGAAACGCCAGAATGACAGCTAGTTAACTGGGGAGGTTTGGCTGATCAAATAAAATGCATTAACTCCAGGAAATGGATATTGCGGGCAGCCTCAGAAATGGCCATATCTAATGAGGCAAAATGCAAATGAAGGAGGAAAAGAGTCGTGAAAATGTTTAAACTAACTATAAAGGGATGATGGAGTGTCGGACAGTGGCCGTCAATCTCCCCACTCATTACCTTCATGTGAAATTAACAGCAGCTTTAATCATTACATAAAATCTGCTCCAGCCCATTTGTTGATAATTGTGAAGCGCAGAGGTTCAGAGTGGGTTCTTTGTCATCAATCACAGCAGCAGTATATTTCCTCTGGTTAGGGGACACTGCGAGTAAAAATATAAGTTATACTACATTCCTCTTGCACTATTTCTCTTCCTGGGGAATGATCTATAATATTTAGCTGTTTCC